AAAATGATAATTACTGGTAAAATTAAATTACATAAAACAACTATGATTATGGCTATAAATTACGACTATACCCGTGCTATAAATAAACAGGCATGTTTTTTTCTTTTCTTGAAAATATTGCTGATCATTTATCAACTATTTTTATCACTATAATATTTATTGGCAATATTTGTACCCATAAAAATGTATTAAAATTAAAAATAAATTGTTTAATGTTTAGACTCATTACTCAATACCATTGTAACTGAAATGAGTATAATGGGCTCTTCACAGGTTTTTAAGAGTCGCAGGGTGTGCACTGGCACACCAGGCACACCCTGTAGATTCGCCTATGAATACAACCCAACAAAATAATTGTGAATTATAGTAGATACTTAAATCATAGACTTATTATTAGAAAAGATATAGTATTTTAACAAATATTTTAAGACACAGGTCAATAAATTTACTTTTTTTAGAATTTATTATAAATAATACGATTACGTTTTATTGTTTAAAATTTAAATATCATGATTAATATTAATATTATTTTTTTTTCTATACCGATAAATTATTATTTTCTAATTGAATTTTAACGGAGAAAAGCAGTGTTTATATAAGATGTATATTAATACAAACCTAATTTTATATTATAGTCCAATCCAATCATMATAAATTACTACAGAAAAGCTTTAAATTTTACATGAATCAAAGTAGAGATCTTATTTAAATTTGAAAAGTTGATCATTCAACCTTTTCCTAAAAGGTTAAAAATGCATTAAGTTAAAACTAAACTAAATTTTTTACGAAATTAAATGTTTAGCTTACAAAAATACGTTTATTTTTAAATTTTGTGTGTATTTATTCTGTTCAAGAACTGTTCACTCTATATAATATATAGTCTGATATATTAAAACTTCAACAACACTGTAATATCAAACTAGTTATTAATTACCAATGGATTTATAAAAAAAAAAAGGAAATAAAACTTTTCTGAGAATAAAACAAATTATAGGCTAGGCCGAAAACAACTATAAAGTCTAAATAGTATAATACAACAATTTTATATAATCATATATAGTGAGAAATTGTCTAGATAGGTAGTTAATAAACTAAAACAGCTGCTATAATTGATACGTCTAAAATTCGAAACTAATCATTTGCAGATAGTATAATATATGTCTACATAATACAAAGGTGATACCTATACCTCCATCAGTATTAAAAAGTTAATTAGTTACTCGAGTATGATCAGTATTTAAATTTAATTAGAATTTTGAACTCGACTTTCTGTTAAATATTCATCATTGTATCTTACCAATATGCGAACTTCCTATTGAAGTATATACAAGATATATATTGATACATATTGATATTATACAATTGTGGAGTCGGTCGACCGATTTTTCTTTTTTTTTTAATTTTCCTGACACCCTGCATAATATTCAAAAATTTCAAACCATAATAACAATGGACCGAAGAACGAAAATTGTGGTTGACCATATAGAAATTATGACGATTTACAGTATATATATATACCGGCGGGAATGACTTTTCCCAACTTCCACATTAATCACAATATATGAATGATCACCTCGTGTTTCAACAAAAAAATGAGATAAAACCGTGAAAACTTCGATGAAATAATATATGCAAGTTAAACAGCAAAACAAAAATAAAAGTATACATCTCGTAAAAGAAGTACAAATATACCAGAACTGATGACGTTCATACAACACGTCATATCAACCACATGCAGCGTTATAATATTATAACACAAATTACAAATTAATCGAACGTAAACCACAGGCTGAAATGTTAAATCCAGAGCTCAAAAAACAATCAAAATTAACGCTTGGGCTTAACAGTTGACAAAAATGTGAAAGTACCAACCCCGATTTTTGAAATCAAAATATTTCAAAGATTTCCTTCCAGTACCTATATAGTATTATTATTTCTAATATGAAGGATAAATATTCCTATTATAACAATTAATTTTAACAATTTAAATGTCTATAGGTAATAAACAAATCATAATGTACCTACAACCAAACTTAGCGCCATAATAGTTTTTTGATTCGAACGGTGTAAAAGCTTTCAAACACTCAAACACTACAATGTCACAACACGCCATGTGTAATTAATTTACCGTCTTTATTATCAGGATCAAACTCAAAACCGTAAAATCCTATAATGCATGCTATATATAGCTGCAATGTATTTAATGCAAGTTATAAATTAGCTACAGAACGATTAAATAAATGGTACCTCATTCAAAACAACATACAATAAGATGTCCTTATCCATGACTGTTATCAAACATAGTTTAAAAAAAAATCTCATATGTATAAACAATTATGTTTTTAATGAGTAAATTATTTTTTTGAATTAGTAAGTAATTGTGTTGTAGATTTCAACGGGAGAAAAAATAACAAGAACACCGACAACAATAGACATTTCGTTCGTCAACGGTGCGCAACTATGAACACAAATCACAGGGAGAAAAACATTTCTTATACATTATATTATTACAAACTCACAATTCATACTACAATAGATTCAATAGAATATCAAAATAAAGCACCAAGAGTTAAATGAAATTGAAATTCACAAAAATGTAACAACTTTTTCAAGTACCTACCTACAGTAAAAATTCTTAATACGTGATCGGTTAATACGCACAAAATCTTAAGACCAAGTTAAATTATTGTCTTTGATTTTTGTATGTTTTTGTATACGACCAAACTATGTGGTCACTTCCATATATCATATTAAGCAATATCTACTGATGTTTGATTTTACACGTTACATAAAATACAATAAGCGAAATATTATAAATGAAAAGTATAGCGGTACCGAGGTGAAGATCTTGTAAACAATACCCGACAGCTGTAAAAAATAATATTTATATATATAATATAATATCTTCAAAGTAATCGAGTAATATTCTAATGTCCATAATTTTTAATCTATATGAAAAGTTAAACGTGATAATATGTCAATTCGCTAGAGAAAATTTCGACTTGATGGCTAGAAAAAATTTTATAACACTATAAATTACAATAATATATATATTTCTATAATCAGCTAAGATATTTACAACCGATAAATTACGCGTGTTCTAATAATATTATGYAATTGTTATTTTGTTAGTGTACAATATCGCTACGACTTATTTCGAAATCATTAAGTTAGGTATATTTATTTTAACATCGATATTATATTTTTCAATGTTTATCGTGAAACCTAAAAATCTATTCACTCGTGCCCGATGATTGCAGTTATAGAGATGCTAATGATTTTCGTCCAAAGTGATGTAACAACAATATTTCAAGAACGTATAATCCTTATTATATGATGTGAATAATCACTATATATTATCGTGTATTATAAGTAGTTTGAAAATTAAGGATTCTTAATCCTAACCGTCCGAACACCTAAACCGGCCTTCACATTGCGACACATTCGATCTAGCGAAAATAGCGAAAATAGCGTAAAATACGTATGTTCKATGAGTTSTAACGATTCGCCGGAGGAGATGGCACACCAGGAGACTGATCTCCGGCATTCACAATATAACATATTATACACAGCTAAATAATAATATACACCCATATCGCGGATGACAATACAGCAGAGTTTGGAATTTAGACCACACACGCTCACACATATACACTGAACGGAGAATGACGAAGGAGGGTACCTGATAGCGACGCTTGAACGAAAACAGTTGTAGGCTGTCGTCGATCTGCTGATTCGGAGAGTCTTCRGAGAACAACGGATACTTCATCGCGATCGCGAAATGGTCGCGACACAGATGGCGGTCGACAGGTATAGATAGTGACTAGGTATAGATATGACTAGGCACGGCGATCTCTAAATGTATCTGCAATATATACCTGTAACAGTTCGTAACGATATTATTAGTAAATATTATATATATATATATTGTAATGTATTATGTATAGTATTATATATAAATGACAGTGATGTATTTACGGAGGGGAGATAGATATCCCCTGGTCAATTATTCGTAACTAATTTACAATATTTTGATGGTAAGTGAACTAMCCCCTCACCTCAGTGAAACTAAATTTTGCAAACGTATATACCCCATTTGACAAAATCCTAAATACTACGCCACTGTACAATACACACAAYATATGTATGGGTGGTGACCTAGAAAATTAGACGAACTACTACAGAGGTAGCTCAGAAGGTTTTAACCAAAACGGAACAGCAGATTAAGGGACGATAAATCGGACATTGCAGCGCATCGTTTTACAAAATGTCAAAAATGATGGACTTTAGTGTGGACGCGGTTTGGCGGGTCCACGAGCTCAGATYTTTTGTTTCGAATTGACCTCGATTACACACGTTTACCCGAACGATTAACATATAATATCATGCACTCATTTCCGTGTTTGCTTCATTTATTATCATTACCACACTCGTCTTAAATAATCGTATCACGGCGCGCACTGCAAGAGTGTTTCTATACACTACACGCCGCGCTGCTAAGACGCGACCACCGACACAATCGAAACGTATTATGTGTATATATACTTTACAAGAAACCACACATGACCAGCACTGATATAAAAAATAAAAAATAAAATAAAAACACGAGACGGCCGCGGTAGTGAGAAATTCAATGGACGCATTATTATATTTATAGATGCGATGTAAAAATTATATTATACTTTGGTCGTACACGCTCGCTAAAATGGAAATCGTCGTCCAGGGGTTGCCAAGCGAAGCGTGTTTATACCTTAAACACATACAATATATATATGCTCTCGTAGGATTTTGGTATTTTATGTGAATATTTTATGGCCGGGATCTCGTACGCCAAGCCCGGAGGAGAACACACTATAAATTCGTCAACATTTGTATAATATATATATATTATATATTACATATATATGTATATAATAACGCGCCTATGAAATGAACGCAGGGCCAGGTTTTCGGATAGTTCATTTTATATTCACTGCGCCCATATTTTTTTTTTTTTTTTGAAAAACAAAAAACATATGAATGCTATATGTAAAAACGAATACATTTTTGTAAAATAAAAATTTGTATGTTTTTAAAATTATCGACGTCAAATGTATACTAGCTGTTGTAAAAATTTAAAGATATTCGTTTCGTTGTTAATTATTTCGGAAAGTGAACCCGAAGCCCACGTATAAACCGTATTATATTATAATAGAACTATAATATAAATAATAAACTCGATATTTACGTAGCCGTTATACAAAGAGAAGGCATCGAGAAAAACATCAGAAATGTATTTTGACGTGTGAAAAGAAATGCAATTAAAATTCCTCGGAACATTTTTAAAACAATGGACGTTGTTTTTTTTTCGCATCGACGAGGTATGTTAACACATTTTCGAAAAATATAAGGAAGATCGTGACCTAAACAATCGAAAAACGTCWTACAACGATTCTTTCTCGTCGTCCCAAGAATTATAATTATAATAATATATCACTCCGGAACGTCAGAAAGATTTTAGAAACAAAATATACCCGCTTCGAGCGGTTTATACAATATATGTGTGTGTGTGTGTGTGTGTGTGTGTGTGTGTGTGTGCGTGGTGTACTGGGAATGTGGTTTTTTTTATAGCCTTCCCAGACACCCCCAAAACCATCACGCCAAACACGGTAATAATAATGTACACATCGAAGGAATGCATATATACCTGTATAAAAAAAAAGAACCTACCCACATCCCTATTTTACGAACGCGTCTGGAAATCACCTGTTCCCGTGAGAACGAATATTATTATTATTATTATTATTATTATTTTTATTATTATTGTTATTTTCTGTTCAATATCGAGAACCGACATGCAGCACAGCGCGAAGGGTACCACAAAAAACCTAATACCGGCTATTTTCTATCTTACGCTTTTTATTTTTATTATTTTTATTTTTCGTAAAACCGAACTTTTATGCAAAAATGTCTACTAGTCGGTGAACTATTAGACAATTAAACGTGGAAAATATGCCCAGGTGTATGCGTATTTTAATATAATACATAATACATATTATAATGTCATATTTTCAAAAACAACCTACTAATATAGAGATGCGTGTCAAACGAAAATATACCAACAATTAATCAGGTATTTAAGAAAAGGTAGTTTTCACCGTACATTGCGTGTATTATAAACGGACGATACAAAATTCTCARAATAAATAAAAATTAAAAATAACCATCGGCTTCCGGCTTCCGGCTCAACCGTGCCATACATTATGATGTGAAGAATATCCATATAATAAGGCTTTATATAATAACAGTTAACCCTTATTGTTGTATACTGTTTAAAAACACTCACTAAAGTACTGAGTCATCAGTCATAACTCATAACATTCCGAACATACGGTTTATTATAAAAAATAAATATAAACTGTTGTGTGTCATCTAAATACATGTAAAGTAAAAAATATACACATTTTTAGCCAAAATGCAATCGAACCATAATAAAAACAAATAGGCACTTCGGACGAAGTTTAATATCTTCACTAAATTCATTATCGGAATTAAATAATTCAAACCGAAATACAATTCTATTGGTTTTTTTTTTTTTGTGCGATTATTATTGTTCAAGAAGATATAATAACTGCATCAGTGTACCTATACTATCAACAGACAATAAATTGATAATAGATAGTAGGCAATAGATTGCAAGATGATTGATAGTACACGAAATTTTCAAATTGGTTTTATGTTATTTTTTTAAATAATAATTTACAGTCAATTTTAATTTATTTATAATTTTAATTAACTTCATTATAAATATGACATTATAATTTATATAAAATAAATCTATATAATTCATCTATAAGGAAATTCAATACAGATAATGTTCACCAATTCAAATAATTACTGAAGTGTTCATTGGATTCCAATAGATTTTCGATCGAAAATTTAAAAAAGTAAAAGTATTTAAAGATAAAATGCCTTGCGGGACAAAGAATGTGGCTTATGTTGTTTACAAACTCCGGAAAGGACAAGGAAAAAAATAAAAAAAGAGAAAGAACTAAAAAAAAATCAAAGAAATAAAGAAAAATACCAAAGTAAAAGGACAAAAATATATTAAATTATGTTGAAACATGTTCTGCTGTCATAGGAGGGTTAGTTTTCAAAATACTACTTCTTAGTATTTCTAGACAATTAGTTTCATTAATTGTAGAATATATCCAAGTAAAAGAATTTTTACCTCTGTWCTTTGCAATATAATAGTGCATCTTTACAACGCTTTAATTAGATTTGAAAATTAATAGATAGATGGCTGTTAGCAGACAAAACTTTATTCTATCAAATATAATAACACAAATATAAAGTTAAAGAATAAAAGAAAATATAAAAAGGTCGAAACAATGAATTTCCCAGTAATAAAAACTTATTTTACTCTGTAGGATACCAACGTATTATATTGTATTTTATTWAAAAAAATGTAAAAAAATGTAAATAGTAATCGTAATACCGTAATAATATGATAATACGCATCACAGTATTTTTATTTTTTTAAATTAATGTTATATCTATTTTCACTATAATATTCAATAATTATAACTATCACACTAAATAAGAATTAGTCAATTGTAAATAATATATTATATATATTTACCGTTTCTTATATCCCTTAGTCTTTTTTTTTTATCGATTTCTATTATTTACACCTATATATATACAGCCCAAACGCATAGGTACAAACCGAATACACGATGTGTTTAAGAATAATATAGGTGGTATAAATTTGTTTTTGTAAATAAAAGATTCATGATGTATAAGCAACATAGTATATTATATGTATTTGCCATTTGGCAATGCTTTTCAGTAACAAAGCTTATTTGGACATTATAAAACCAGTATACTGCACATTTGGAAGTTTGTTTCAAATGTTTACAAACTACGTCATTGTGTGTGTGCACAATAAATGTAAAAATTAACAGAAACTACATCAAGAAATTGCTTAACATACTGTACATATTTCCATCTTTTTTTCAACACGGATGAGGTATATATATTATAATATTCGAATCATTGTTTGAATTTATCGATACCGATATAATACGCGAGTATAAATTGCCGTTTTATTGTCTCATTATTATTACAACTTCTTAGTTACTTTAGTTGTGTATGGTCGTATACATTGTTTAGCGCTTTTTAATACTTTTATCGTTTTTCTTTTCACCTGGTTGTTTTGGAGTAATTAAATTCAACACCCTTTATTGAAGTGTTATTTGCGAAACGAAAGTTGTGAAATGTTAATATAAATAAAACGGAAAAAAAATTACAGCCATATCTAAAGTGCTGCATTTTCACAATTTTAGTGTAAAACTCTTCACGGCCCTCGTCAAATTTGTGATTGTATTAAAAAAAAAAAATAAATAACATTTTTCCTTCGTACAAAATATATAAATTTATTTTACGCTCAAGGATTGTTTTTGGTTCACTTCTGGAGCTGCAGCAGCTATCACTATAGTTCAAATAGTTCTCAAGGATTTCTTAACGCCCGAATTAAGGAGTTCTTGAATAATCATGAATGACAATAAGTTTCTTAYTTAACAACTATAAATGCTTACAATAAATTATTAACAAATAACCCAGAAGATTTAACTAAAATCAATTTTGTAAGATTTATATATTTAATCGGTATTTACAATATTTCACACGGGAATATATTATAATATWATATTTTGACGACCGAAACTATAGCAGTTATTACTCCTACAGTAATTAACTACCTATATTATAATAACCCTAATACAGTTCATTAATATTTAATACACTCACTCACAAGTGTTATGATGAAACTAATATAATATAGTTATATATTTTCAGCTTATTATATATGATTCAAGTTGAAAGTAYCAATTTGAGA